CGCTCCCGAGGGAGTTAAATGTGACAAGAATTGTTCTACAGGCTGGCGATTCGGAGTACAGAGACGCCTTGTTCGTGTTCAGCTACCGCGCCTCATCGCAGAGTTTTTCTCCTGGAGTTCTGCTGCTTTCCAGGGTTTGAACTTGCGGATTAAACAAGCTGGTAAACAAGCCAAAATCAGAAATTTCTTTATGACTTATAAATACATATCAGGATGGTTGTATAAAAAATATTCTAGAGTATTGCAACTTGTTACCTGAATATGTAATATTTGACTAAAATTCAATATATAGGAATGATAATTGTAAGGGCTCATTCTTACTTTGTACTCCGAACTTTAAAAATAAATCAGGAAAAAGGGGTAGTGCTGTCATTTGATATTTTTGTTGGAATATTAGTTAAAAACAAACGGGAAAAAACCACATTATCTCACACTTAATCCCAAGTTTTTCAGTCTGTTTTCAATAAAAATTTTAACGAAGGAGGTTAAGTGAGACTAATTGAAAATTTAAAGAGCAAGTAAGAGTTTGGAGGTAAATTAAGAATGACCTGAAGTTCAAGATGTAGAGTTGAGATTTGATAAGTTATTGTTATCTGACTAGTCAAAGATCAATGTTGACCATAATATTGTTCCGACATAAACGTTATACAAAATTATGAATACACATACTAATAATTATGTGTCAATTTTCTTTCTGATCAATACTTATAAGTTGTGATATAGAGTATTGCTCTTTGATTTATCCTGAAGCGAACGTTATGACTTACAATGCAGCTTTCGTACTCTCTTGGAATGAAGCATCTTGAAAGCTTCTTGCTAGGCCAGGTGAGTTTTCACACAAGAACATAAGAGCTTCGGGGAGGGCCGTGGTACGCCCGAGTGAGCATCTGGATCGGGACGAGAACTTCAGGTTCTTCGATAGCCTGATGAGGAGAAAACCCGCTAAGCCTGCGACACGGGGAGGGATAACGAAGATTCTTCACCTGTAGGAGAAAAAAAGGGAGCAAATGCAACTTTATTTATTAGGTCATTATTGCAAGAAAATTCTCTAGTAATTAGGGAAATTTTACAGTTCATGATCAAATTAAACTTGTAATTGCCGTTCCATGTATGTGAAATATATGTGTCACTTATTCAAAAATAAAAAATGTGTCACAATGCATACCAAATTCAAGTATGAGAGAAAATTTTAAAATGCATTAAGTGAAAAGATGAATCATGTTTAACATTAAAATAGTGACACAAAAGATTAAATAAGCAACAAACAAAAATTAAGGAAAATGAGGATTCTTCTATATAACTTCTTATATAGAAGTAAATTCTTATTCCGCATATAAACTAATTAAAAGAAATCATTAAAGAAACAAAAAAATATGTCCATTTTTTAGAAGTACCCTTTTCACAGCAAAACAACTTCCTTGTATATTTGAGAGTGGTTTTAGCAAATAACCAGTCAATTATGACATTTTCAACAATGAAACCAAAAGTTTACCTGGTGTGCGAAGAAAGCAAGTGAACTCGTACCGTAACTATTTTTCCCATGCCATCCAATTTTATTTCGCACCAATTATGGATTCTCTAATAATTTTAACCTTCCTTTGAGCTCTGAAATACTACCCTTTTTCGGTAGCAAGTTGAAAACAAGACAACTCTTTTCTAACATCTTGTTCTGAAAATTTTAGACCCGGTTAAAGTGCTTATCAAGTAATAGGCAAAAAAAAAAAACCTTAACACAAATTCTTTTCGACGCATTTGCCTTGAGCCATTGATGTGGCATATATACAAAACCTTGGGCGATGAAATTGATGATGGGATTAGAAAGTTGAGATCTTAGAGAATCCTTTCTGTAATTTTGCCAGATTTACAATGTACAAATGAAAAACAAGTGGCAAAAATAATAAATGAATCAGGATTATATTGTCTGATTTTTATAGAATATTTCGATATGGTTTGTGAACATTTACACAGCATTTGTTGGATGAAACCAACAATAAATTTCAAAAAATTTCAAAAATCCTTTTGAGAGGTTGATATAATAATGTATTCACTAATGACATTGCGAATATTGATCCATATGTCTTTACATTTCTACCTATCAATGACTAACTACACAAAAAAGTAAAGCCTCCACAGGCGCAGGCGACTTGGAGCTTCACCAGAATTGGTGCCTCATCACTTAGAGTTCATCACACTGCTGCAAACGATTTTCATCGGTCACGAAAGCTCGAAATTTGGCTCCTCTCTTCCGGGAATTATTACCCAGCAGGATGGCATATTGAACATCGAACATTGTTTCGTGTCGCTCCAAATACACACCGATTTCCTCCCCGGTCGACAACAAACTCTCATCGTTCTCTCGGCCAACCACACTGAGAGAACAATGACATCCAGAAGTTGGAAATGACATTAATTTGCTCTTTCATTTGAGCCATTTCCTCGGCTGATCTTCTCAGCTCAAGTACTCACTTGCGGTAGAGCATTGATCTGCAGGCTGCCGATTACAGCAGCAGGAGCTTCTGCTTGCCTGCTTTCTCCTCCTTTCCGCCGCTTTTTGCTGACTGAACTTGCAGCCTTGTCAACCTGGGAGATAAGCCAAAATTAGAAAAAAAATTTAACTTGAAAATGTGTGATTACATGATAAATTATTCTAGACTTTTGCAACTAGTAACATGAATATGTAATATTTGACTAAGAAATGCTAATAGTATATAATAGGTGACATAAAAAGTATTGTTAATTATCTAACCACCTAGAAATCAAACTTGATGCCTAATAATGTTCTGGCATAAACACTATACAAATTAACAATATGAATACTAATTATGTATCAATTTTTTTCATAATCAATATTTATAAGTGGTGAAGAAAAAAACATTGCTTGCCTAGTTTTTACCTTGCACCTTGCATGCTTGAAGAGCTTGAAGCATCTTGAAAGCCTGTTTCCGGGCCATTAGAGCCTTGGCATGAGAAGGGAAAGTACCATGAGTGAGCATCCTGGATCGGTACGAGAACTTCAAGTCTTCTGACGCCTGACTAGGTGAAAAACCCGCCAAGCCCGCGACACAGGGAGGGATAACGAAGATTCGTTACCTGTATAAAAGAAGGAAGCAAATGAAATGTTTTTTGTTTAGGCAATTATTGTGAGAAAATTCTCTAGGGACTATGAAATTTTCAAGACCAGGATCAAATTAAACTTGTAATTGCTGTTCTATTTGTGTGAAATATGTGTGCCACAATTTATACCATCACAAGTATAAGAGAAATTTTAAAATGTACTCGTTAAGTGAAAATATGAATGGTATTCAACATAAAAATGCCGTCCCTAAAGATTGACTAAGCAATAAACAAAATTAAGGAAAATAAGGATTCTTCTGTATAACGTCTCTTATATAGAAGTAAATTCCTATTCTTCTATATATGTCCCAAGTAACCGTTGAGCGGGGACGTGAGTACACAACAAATCCCTTTTTTTTTTTTTTTTACAGGTAGAAATAAAAATTCTTATTCTGCATATAGACTAGTTAAAAAAACCATTAAAGATTAATAAAGAAAAGATGTGTAAATCTTTGAGGAATAATCTTTTCATAGATAAACAACTTCCCTGTATATTTGAGAGTTATTTTAGCAAATAACTAGTCAATTATAAGATTTTCAACAATGAAACCAAAATTTACCTGGTGTGCAAAGAAATCGATGATGGAATTAGAAAGTTGAGATGCGAGAGAATCTTTTATGATTTTACGAGATTTACAATGAATAAGGATTATATCTTGTCATTTTTATAGAATATTTTGATGTGGTTTGTAAACCTTTGCATACCATTTGTTCAATAAAATCGATGATGAGATTAGAAAGTTGAGATTTGAGAGAATCTTTTGTGATTTTACAAGATTTACAATCTACTAGTCACAAACATGCAGTAAAAATCATAAATGATTTGGGATTATATCACGTGATTTTTATAGAACATTTTGATGTGGTTTGTAAACATCTGCATAACATTTGTTCGTTGAAATCGATGATGATATTAGAAAGTTGAGATCTACGAAAATCTTTTATGTGATTTTGTGAGATTTACAATGTACTAGTCACAAATACGTGGCAAAAATCATAAATGAACAGAGATTATATATTTTGATTTTTATAGAATATTTTGAGGCGGTTTGTAAACAAATCTATAACATTTATTTGACGAAATTGATGATAAATTTAATAATTTTAAAAACTCTTTTAGAAAATCTTTAATTTATTTTTACATTATTCACGACACATCAGTTACACCCACTATAAAATAATAACGATAATATTAATGATGTCAGTTTTAAGATCCCGTTCATTTCACTGATTCGAGTTTAGAATTCAAATTTTACTATAGTAAAAAGCTCTTAAAAACAGTCACATCTAACTTTTTTACTACAGTAAAAAGCTTCAACATAAAGTCACATATCAACTCAAATTAAAAACTCGAATCAGCGAACTAAACAGGCCCTAAGTAATAATTTTTAAATTTGAAAGCATCTTTCACGTGACTTCTCACAAGTCATGGTGTATCAATTATAGTAGGTCGGATTTACCAAGTCATCGTATTGATATGGTGCATCCATTCAAGGAAGCGCTAACAACTTTTAATCCAACCATCCATCTCTTTCCTACTAGACTTTTTTCATATTAACCTACTGAAATTATCATAGATTTTCAAATCATACAAATTAATACAACAAGTGATGTTCACTGATTTCAACCAGTTACATGAGTTCTCTTTTTTTTTTTTTTTCATTACAATGTTGCTTAGTACATTGATCGTGGTTTAAGCAAATAACTAGTAATGAGAAATCCACGAATGAACCAAGATTTTAAAATATTAACTATATCAACTATTTGATCCACGCACAAACCGAAATATGGCTGCAGAATAAAAGAAGAGTTGACAAAATGTTAAATAGGCTAGCTTACATTCATTTTCTGTAATTTGATTGAATGTGGCTTATAACAATAGGCTGTGCGATAAATGGTTTTCATTTGGAAAGCAAAATGTTCAGCATTTCCAACGTATAGCATTAGAATCCCAATTGACACCGAAAGAAAACCACCTCAATTGTGCATGATAATCAAAAGCAATCACAGGCATTCCTGTGAAAAAAAAATCAAGAGAGGTGCAAGGTAGAAAAATCAAGAAATCCAAGAGTTTGACCAAATTGTTATAGAGAGGTGCAAGGTGAAAAAAAATATCACAGGCACCTTTCCTGGAAAGCTTTCTCAGGGTTCTTCCAGTCAATTTGCGAGTGGTGAGGGAAATCGTATGGCATTTCCGCAGCAGAAAACCATGCTTCGCTTAAAACCCTCACAACTTCTTTGTGAACCACAGCATTGCCCTCAGGCGTCAGGTGCAATCCATCACTGTAATGTAAGAAGAAAAGGCACATGAATTCAGAATATGAAACTTAGAACTTCCACTCAGTTGAACTGTGCTGTGCATTCTATAATTAGTTTATCAGGTCTGCCTTACAGTAAAATTCTAATCTATTCTAGCAAAACCCTGGAAAGTGATAAAATTGATGGAATTATTTTCCTTCCCCACCAGGAGCTAGTTGAGTGGTTAGATCCATGGTTTCCTCTCATGGTCTAGGGTCAATTCCTCAAAGAAACCTAGTTGGCGAATAGTCACGAGCTTATACCGAGGGTCTTCCAGTTTCGAACTCAAGCTTGCTAAGCAATTTAGATGATTTTTAGCATGTGAAAAAGACAGCATATCACAATTTCCCCCTGTCAGGATCCTGCTTAGTTTTAGATCAAGACAGCCAGATTTGAGGCAACTCGTAAATGAGTTTAGCTTCTTTGATTGAATTCACTCTCACTCTCTCTCTCTGGAGAGGAGCTTTCTTACACTCAACAAGCAAACAGAAAGGAAAAGAAAGATAGCAGAAATAACAATGGAGAATTCGAGGTTCTCCTTCCTCCCAAGGCCTGCTAACAGAATTTCCCAAATCAACAGACAACCCCTCACGTTCCCCCCTCCTTCTCTAGATATGCTCTCCCAGGCTAACAAATTCCTAACCAACTTGCCACATCAGCTCTCGTGCCTAGTATTTCCCATATTTCCATTTCCCACCCCCTTGTCTTGTACAACTGCCCCACGCCCCTTTCTCCTAGAATAGACTAACGCCCCCCCAAGGTTGAAAGTAGGGAATTGCAAGCGAATCGCAGCCAACAGTTCCCAGGTAGACTCCCACTCAGGTAGGCCCTGCCACTTGATGAGTACCTGTTGTTCCTCCCGTCCCCCCACCACTACCACCCTAGACTCCAGAGCCTCTTCCGTGTAACGCACAACTCCAAGTCTTCGGACAACTGCTCCGGTAAAGGCTGCACCCTGGAAGCCGCCCCCTTAAAGGGTTTCAACTAAGAGACATGAAAAACCGGATGGATACAAGTGGTATCCGGCAGGCGCAAGCGGTATGCTATGGGACCAATCTTAGCCAGAACTTCAAACGGTCCGTAGAAGCACTGAGCGAGCTTCTCATTCTTGCGTCGAGCCAGGGACTTAAGGCGATAGGGTCGCAGCTTGAGTAGAACCAGCTCCCCAACATCAAAATGCCATTCCCGACGGTGGCTATCTACAAATTTCTTCATACACTGCTGGGATAGCAAGAGGTGAGATTTCAACAAATCTAACATTTCATTGTGAAGAACCAATTGGTCCTCCACTGCAGCCACCGTGCGGGGAGTATCCTGAAAACGGAAGAGGGTGGGAGGATCACAGCCGTAGACAATGCGAAAGGGGGTGAATTTGGTCGAGGCGTTAAAAGTTGTGTTGAACCACTATTCAGCCCAAGGCAAAAACGAAGCCCACAGCCACGGCTTATCCCCTGCAAAGCACCGTAAATAACCCTCCAGGCAGTGGTTAACCACCTCTGTTTGTCCATCGGACTCCGGATGATAAGCGGAACTGGTACACAACTTAGTGCCTTGCAATTTGAATAATTCACGCCAGAATCCACTCATAAAGATTGCGTCCCTATCACTTACTATGGATCGTGGAACCCCATGAAGCTTAACAGTGTGCAAGACAAACAAGGCAGCCACTTGTTTGGCCGAATATGGGTGGGCCAGAGGGCAAAAATGGGCATATTTGGACAGACATCCACGACCACCAAGATGGTGTCAAACCCGCTTGACTTAGGCAGGCCCCCGACAAAATCCATGGATACATTGTCCCAAACCAAGTCCGGAATGGGTAGAGGCTGCAAGAGGCCTGCTGGTGAAAGGGCTTCGGACTTATTCCGCTGGCAAATCTCGCAGTGAGCCACATAATCCCGAATGAAACGTTTCATCCCTCGCCAGAACACCACGGCGGACAACCTCTTGTAAGTATGCAAGAACCTGGAATGACCCCCAATCACTAAATCGTGGAACTCATGAACCATCTGAGCAATGGAAGGGGAATTTGCCACCAGGACCAGCTGGTTCTTACAGAACAATAGGCCATTTTTTAACGAATAGCCCTCCAGAAGCTCCCCGTCCTCAAGTTTAGAAATGGTCATGACCCACTCCTTCTCGGTGCGCTGCTCCAAACGGATGGCCTCCAAATCCCCAGCCTGAGGCATGGTGAAGGCGCAAAGAGTAGCGTCCGGCCAGTTTCCCCGCCTAGACAGCGCGTCAGCCACATTATTGGCTACTCCCAGCTTGTATTGGACCTCAAAGTCATAGCCAAACAGCTTATACACCCACCGCAGCTGGTCGGGAGGTAGTTGGCGCTGTCCCATGAGATACTGCAGACTTTGCTGATCCGTGCGGACTACAAAATGCCGCCCCAATAAGTAGTGTCTCCATTTTTGGATTGCCAGCAGCACCCCCATAAGCTCCCTTTCGTAAATAGACTTAACGCGCGAAGCTGGGGCGGGAGCCTTGCTGAAAAACACAAGAGGCCTGCCCTCTTGCATCAAAACCGTCCCCAGGCCTTCTCCAGAAGCGTCTGTTTCAAGCACAAAGGTTTTATTGAAATCCAGCATTGCTAATACCGGAAGTTGAGTCATGGCGGCCTTCAGCGCCTCAAATGCGTGGTCAGCAGCGTCGGACCTAACAAAGCCCTTCTTTGTGAGCAACTCCGTCAAGGGCCTCGCTAGGATGCCATAGCCCTTAACGAACCTCCTGTAATATCCCGTTAGCCCCAGGAACCCACATACCTCTCTGACATTTCACAGGGGGGGCCATGCCGTGATAGCCTGAATCTTAGAAGGGTCAGCCGCGATCCCCTGTGCCGAAATGAGGTGGCCTAGGTACTCCAACTGCCGTTGCCCGAAACTGCACTTCTTCTTGTTAGCGAACAACTTCTCACGCTGCAGCACACCAAAGACAGTGGCCAAGTGTTGGCGATGGTCCTCCCACGTACGGCTTTACACCAAAATATCATCAAAGAATACCAAAACGAACTTCCTGAGGTAAGGCCGAAAAATCCTATTCATGAGTCTTGGAAAGTGGCTGGAGTATTCGTCAGCCCGAAGGGCATGACGAGGAACTCGTAGTGGCCCTCATGAGTATGGAAAGTCATCTTTTCTACGTCTGCTTCGTGCACCTGAATCTGGTGGTATCCCGCTCGCAAATCCAACTTAGAAAACACCACAGCCCCGTGTAGCTCATCCAACAACTCATCAATCAACGGGATGGGAAACTTATCCGGAATTGTGACTTGGTTGAGCGCGTGGTAGTCTACACAAAACCGCCAGCTGCCGTCCTTTTTTTTAACCAAAATGACTGGGCTCGAATAAGGGCTGCTGCTCGGCTGAATGATGCCCGAAGACAACATATCCGTCACCAAGCGCTCTATTTCTCCTTTATGTACTTGTGGATATCGATAGGGCCGAACATTCGGGGGATCGGCCCCCTCCCTCAAGACAATCTTGTGATCCCGTTCCCTGTGAGGAGGCAGCTCCGTAGGACTTTGGAATACCCTTTCAAAATCGCACACCACTGTCCTCACCTCTTATGGCACCACTTTGTCGCCTTCGTCCCCTCCTTGCACCGAGAGCTTGCACACTTCCACCAACACCCTAGCTCCTTATGGAGCAACGTCCTCACTGGAGAACTCAACTTCATCGGGGCATAGCACAGGCTGGGGTCACCTCGCCAGGTTACCCACGTTGGTCCAGACCGAAATTTTAAAAGGAACTCGGACCAATCAGCCTTTACTTCCCCTCAGCCATGTCATCCCCAGCACCATATCCGCCCCACCCAAATCAAAGGGGAAAAAGTCCTCGACCCTATGCCCCTGGATCCATACCCGAACCGCCCTACATACTCCCCATTGCTTAAAACTAAGCCCGTTGCCGACCACGATGTTGTGACTTACCGTGGGGTCCATCGGCAGTTTCAGCTCCTTTGCTACCGTTCCTAAGATGAAACTGTGAGTAGCCCCACTGTCCACCAGCACCACCAATTCTCGGCCACTGATTCTGCCCCGCAGCTTTAGTGTGTTGGAGGAAGACAATCCTCGTAGGGAGTTCAGAGACAGATCCACCTTGTCTTCCAGGCTCCCTTTTTCCAACTCCTCCTCCAGAAGATGCTCCTGAACAGCGCCATCCTCCTCCTCGGATGCTCCCTCTGTGTCCGCCAAAATCGGCACTTGTAGTTGCCGGTTCTTACAACGGTGCCCGGGGCTGAACTTCTCGTCACACCTGAAACACAAGCCCCGAGCTCATCGTTGCTAGATTTCCTCCTCCGTGAGGCGGCGGGAAGACGAAGCTCCCCCTGTCGCCGAGTTCTGCCCTGTGCCCATCCCACCGCGTCCCCAATATACCCCCACCGCTTCATTTGGACCCTTGGATCGAAGGGTGCTCTCCTGGGAGAACAAGGTAGGATTCGTGCCCTGAATTGGGCCCCCGGCCCGTTCCCACGTGTCAGCCCTAAGCCCACGACCCGCCCGGTACCTCCTAACTCTCTCAGCTGCTTCATTACGGGCCTCTACTTGCTGGGCCAAATCCATCATATCATGTAAGGTAACGGGCCTGTGCATTTTCAACTCAGCCCGTATATCTTCCCTAAGCCCGTGAAGGAACGCCCCTCTGAAGATGGCATCGGGCACGCCCCGCATCTGAGCCGCCGTTCCCTCGAACTCATCCCGGTAATTCGCCACCGTACCGCGCTGTTGGAGTGCCATGAGTTGCTCCACTGGATCGACCTCCCTCCCCCGACCAAATCTTCGCAGCACCGCCGCCTGCAATTCCCTCCACGATCCGAACGGATCTTGGGCGTCGGCCCATTGGAACCAACCCAGTGCTCATCCCTCCATGCACACCGACGCCGCCACCACTTGCTCTTCCTCCTCTACGTGGTTAACGACAAAATACCTGACAGCCCAGAATACCCACCCTTGAGGATCCTTGCCGTTGAATATGGGTAGCTCCAGCTTTCGTCCACGGTGCTCCACTCGGCCCCTTGGGCCTGGAGGCGATTCCCGCCGCCACTTGCGCCCGAATCGCCGGGGTTCCTCCTCGCGTGGGACTGGGGGAGGTGTCACCGGCCGAGCCTGTGGTACCGGCCTGCTGGTGGAGCATCGCTTCCAGTCGCCGTACCGACCCTTGCACGTCATCCAGCTGAGCCCCGATCTCCGTCACGTCTTCCTGCAACTTTGGCAGAGGTTCAGTCAAGGCTTCGACAATCTGTAACGCCTCATAGAATGCATCCATCCTCTACTCCAGCCTTGCTACCTCCTCCGTCTGAGATCGCACACCCTAGTTTTCTCCCATGGATCGTCACGCTCTGGTACAAAATTGTTAGGATCCTGCTTAGTTTTAGATCAAGACAGCCAGATTTGAGGCAACTCGTAAATGAGTTTAGCTTCTTTGATTGAATTCGCTCTCACTCTCTCTCTGGAGAGGAGCTTTCTTACACTCAACAAGCAAACAGAAAGGAAAAGAAAGATAGCAGAAATAACAATGGAGAATTTGAGGTTCTCCTTCCTCCCAAGGCCTACTAACAGAATTTCCCAAATCAACAGACAACCCCTCATGTTCCCCCCTCCTTCTCTAGATATGCTCTCCCAGGCTAACAAATTCCTAACCAACTTGCCACATCAGCTCTCCTGCCTAGTATTTCCCATATTTCCATTTCCCACCCCCTTGTATTGTACAATTGCCCCACGCCCCTTTCTCCTAGAATAGACTAACGTAACAGGAGGCCTAACACCCCCACACCTTTTTCCTTCTCTTTTTTCCCTTTTTTGGTAAGAAGAAAACCAGTCTCATTAATATGGACAGCAGCAAGGATGGTTTATAGAATTAAGTAAAGAATGCATACAGAGGAAAATGGTAAGACCCAGTTTCTTAATGATAAAGAATGCATACAGAGGAAAATGGTAAGACCCAGTTTCTTAATGATCATCAAATTTTATAAGGACATAAGCAAGTCAACCTTAAGAATGTCTTCTGCCAACCCTCTCTTTCCTGCATCTTGGACCACAGATCGATGGAGCGGAGACCCATTTCTTTGGCTAGCTCAACACACTGCTTTGCATAAACTCCGGTTACTTCATTTGTCCTTTCTGGCAATTTCCTAGCATCCTCGCCGTATAGAGATCTGTTGGACTCAATAATGAGCTCATTCAACAACTAATATTTGGAACATAATCAAATATCACAATATTGTAGCAGTTTTTATCTTTAATGCATTTTGAATTTAGGAATGTACCATGACCATACCGTGCATATTCATTACGCCCTTCCTCATCAACAGGCGGTGGAGTGATAAGCACAACGAGAACGGTGGGAGAGCATTTCTGCAATCAATTGACTGGACATAATGAGAAGGAAAATCATGTAATGGAGCCTACAAGACCATGTTTGGAGTGCAGGGAAATTGGAGATTAAAAACCTCAAAACTCCTCACAAGTCATCATTAACCAAATGCAATGTGGAAGCACGATGAGTCCATTATACAAGTCCAAAAACATCATTCACTGGCAAATAAAACTACCTTATTTAACGAGAATCTCAATTTTGGTGCAGAGGATTAAAATGGTTTTGCATCAATCTTAAAGCCAATTACAACATCTATTATATAATAGATACTCTCCAAACAAAATCAAAAGACTGAAAAAGTTGTTCAAGAATCAAGAAACAGCATCTGAACCTTCAAATAAAGAACAATTTTTCTTAGATTCTCCTTATACTCTTCGATAGGAACATGTTGGCGTTCGCTAGTTCTCCCTAAAACCGCAGCATCATTGGCCCCAAAGAAAATTGTCACAGCAGCAGGAGGTTTTGGAGAGTCCTGCAAAAGAAGCCAGAGAATAACATCTCTGAATTTTAAGTACCAAAATTACAAGTAGAACTTTATTCCCTCCTTTTTTCTAGCAATTAGATTCCCTTATGAATATCTAACTAAGTAAGAAGAAAATAAATATCCCTTTTCATTTATTATCTTCTATTTTTCCTAAACAAAAATTCTTCAACAGAAACGTTCAAGCAATGCATTTTATAATGCCCCACCAAGAAAACAAGCAAAAACCGATTAAATGGTCATCATATATGAATCCAAAAATCAACCCATATACTTGATTAGTATACAGATCTAAGTAACAAGAAATATCATTCAAAAAAGTCAAATTTGCAACAAATGCATACAATGTATAGCATTAGATCTAGGACCACTATCCCTAAAACTAACTATATTTAAAAAGTTGGGACATTCATTTTCAATTCCAAAACCTCATCAAAAAATCACTATCCATCTGAATTGAGAAGCTAGAGAATCAACAAGAACAAGAAGTGAAAATAGGAAACTTACCAATGGAAAAAGTTGATGCAGCAGAAACAAAGCCCATCTAGTGTTGTATCCACCATATCCACGGACTAATACATCAGCCTATAAACCAAAGAAAAGAAATCAACTTTAAACCAATGAAATTTCCAAAATCAACTTCTGGGTGTCTCTCATTTTTGTTTTTTCTCCTTTAAAAAAAAAAAAGAAACGAAAAAAAAAAAAAAAAAACACCTTGCGAGAGTAAGTGTCAGCAAGAGCTGCTCCCCAACCTCCGGGTCTGAACGACTGCTCTGTTATTGAATCCCCAAACAATACGATCTGAGGCTTCATTGATTCTCTACTCTCTGTCTCTGCCACAATTCACAGAAAGAAAAACGATCAACCCTTACATTTGTCGTCAGATGGACGCAACACTAACCAACGTCGTTATTCAATGTTCAGTCGTTTCTTATATTTTTTGTTGTTTTTTTTTTTCCTCCTCTCTTGTTTGTAATTGTCATCATTTGCCAGGTTTTAAAATTACCGTCGTATAGCCGCATCAACTTGTCGTTTTCTTGTCCTTGTTTTTCAAGGTTTCTGTTTTCTACTTTTAGGTCGTTTTCTAGGTTAAATGTCGCTTTTCTGTTTGATAGTGTTTCATCTTTTGAAGTTTTGTTGTCGTTTATGTATGTTTCAGTCAAAGGGTTTTGAGTAGTGAGTACCTTTTCTGTCTTTTGCTTTCCTTTTCAATTTTTCGTCATTTTCAATTTCTAACAACATGGAATTTTTTCATTTTTTCGTCACTTTCAATTTCTTTCCTTTCATGTCGTTGGTTGTTCTATTGTCGTTTATTAGCTTAATGTCTTTTCAGTGGGCTGTTGTTATGTCGTTCTCTCTCTCTATCTTTAGGATTATTATCACCGTGTCATAAATTTTAAAGTCATTCTCAATTCACCTTTAAATTTGAATACTTTTACTTTTTCTATTGAATTTTGGATTAGTTCTATTTAAACCTTTTGTAAAAATTTCTGTTAAAATCATATTAGAAAAAAAGGGTTACATGTGGTTATATGATTTTTATCCGATTGCTTTTATCATATATTTAAATAAAAGATTATGTTTCTGTATTGCTCTCTTTTTTTATATGTTTTTAACAAAAATTTTAAAAGAATGGATTAAGTGAAAATAATAAAAAAAATTTAAGAAGTAAAATGAGAGTTTTTAAAATTCAGAAGAAAAACTAAAAATGACTCTAAAATTCAGAGCATCGGTGATAAAATCCTTTTTTTAATGTCTTTGGTTGTTTTCATGTTGTTTCTAAATATCGTCGTTTTGTTGTCATTGTTTTGTCTCGTAGTATGAATTTATTATGGTTTTAGCTAGGGGTGGCAATTTGTGTCACGTGTCGTGTTCATGTCGTATTTTTATCATTTTTTTTTCTAAATTTACAGTCAAGAACACGACCTGTGACACAAAATTTTTTAAAAACCGCAACACGAACACAACATGACCACTTTACAGGTTGATACGACACGACACGAAAATAACCCGTGATATGAAATTAACCCGTGAACCTGAAATTGACACGAAAATTGTATACTTTTATTTAATTTTTTACGTATTAAAAATAACTTAAAATTCATAACATGCTAAAATACAATAACATCCATCGAAATTAAGCAAATAATAGTATAAGATTTTGAGTATAACTATCATGATATCAAAAGTTGATAATAAAATTAAAAATATGTAATGAAAAATATATGTATTTTTTCATTTTTTATGAGTTTTGTGTCGTGTTCGGGTTAGGCGGGTCCAACCCGAAATTAACCCATGTTTTTCGTGTCAATTTCAGGTCGACATAATTCTGACCCGAACCTTTTTTTCTCAACCTTAACTCGCGAAATTCATGTCGTTTTCGAGTTGCCATGTCGTGATCCATATTACCGACCCTGATTTTAGCCTTCAGGCTTCTTCTCTTTTTGTCGTCACGTCGTACTTTTTGGTGTGTCTACCGTTAAAGTCGTTTTTAATAATATTGTTATTTTTACCCTGTTGTCAAATACTAATCGCTTTCTTCATCTTTAAACCTTGGGTTTTCTTCAAAAGAAAAAAAAAAGAAGAAGAAGAAAAAAAAATTGTTTTCCAATGTTATTGTCGTTTCAAAGTCTGATGGCCTTTTTGGTAATTTCATTTAGGACCCGTTTAGTTCGCTGATTCGAGTTTTTAATTCGAGTTGAGATGTGATTTTATGTGAGAGCTTTTTACTGTAGCAAAAAAGTTAGATGTGATTGTTTGTGAGAGATTTTTATTATAGCAAAACTCGAATTTTAAACTCGAATCAGCGAAATAAACGAAGCCTTAGTTTTTGCTATTATTGCTTCCGAGTTGTTTTGTGGGGTTTTTACTTATTTCTTATTTAAGGATTCGTTTGTTTCATATACTCAAACTTAAATTATTAATTATGTTATAATATTTTTTTATAAAAAGAAAATTAAATTTCAAATATCAAAATTACACATCATAATTTAAATATACCTTCCGAACCGGTCCTTAGTCATCCGTCTAAAAACGTTGTCTTTTAGCGGTTTAATGTCATTAGCATCGTTTCTAATACCATTGTCGTCTACTTTCATGCCGGTTTTGTCATTTGTCGTTTCCAAACATTTCTTACGTTTTCTGACAGCTTTGTCGTTTTCTTCTGTTTTCGTTCTCCAGTTGTTGTTTTTAATTGAATGTTATTGGTGTTTTTAGTTTTAATGTCGTTTTTAGTATTACAGTCGATTTTCAGAGCTAACGTCGTTTGTGTGTGTTTTCTTTTTAATCTTTTCTTTTCTGGGCACTGCTCTCGTGCTCAACAATCAACATGCTGCTGATGTTTTGTAGTTTTTGTCCTTGTTTATATTTCTTCTTTCTATATTTAGTTTTCCAAATTAATGCCGTTTTCTATAATGGCTCCTAAGGAATGTCAAGCCTTGTGTCACTCATATAACGTTAAAACTAATATTAAACTATATATGATAGCACAGAAGCTAAAATGCCCATCAGATTTTTGTGCCATTGGAGTTTAGGAAGGACAATTCTCACTGCGAGATAATAAAATAACTAATTAACAATAATAACAATAACAATAATAATAATAATAATAATAATAATAGTTGTTGCAGTATTAATAATAATAGATATAGTCGTAAGTTCGGCTGCCGTATAGTCCGATAAATATAATTTTTTTCATATGCTTCATTTGTGTGTTTAATACTTTACTTGAGTGCGATGAACTATATTTATAGAGTTCTACACTAAAATAAACTGAACTAAGATAATTACAATAATAATATTAACATTAGTTTATTAAATCTTAATAAAGATCATACCGTTTAAATTCATGCCTTATTGCTATTATGCACTACCACTTAATTCTCCGTGGAAAGGTTTCAACTAACGCCAAAGTTGGGCAAGGATGGTAATCTGGTATAATCTCACATGCAAGTTAAATCATATTTGCATGATTAGGAGAATGACATTCTAGGCTTTATGTAAAAGCCGATTTCTCGTGCTAAAATAAAAGGGCATTTTTTTTTTCTGGGGGTCCCTATAATTTAGTGGTTGCCAATCTATATCGGTACCAGAAAACATGATTGAATTTGAAAGCTATAATAAAACAAGTATATTGATTACTCGTGGCAAAGATAGTGGAGAAAAATGTATGCATTCCACCATATAATGTTCCTCAAGATAATTGGCGAGTGTCCATAATTCTCTATCTCTTGTCTCAGTGTGGCAGACTGGTGAAGCAAAATCATAGTAGCAGTTGGGATAAAGATTTCTTAGGATTATTGATATTTTCAGAGAAGAAAAAATTAAAGATGATAAAGTTTGGAAGTAAGAAAAATTAAAGATGATAAAGTTTGGAAGCAAGAAAAATTAAAGATGATAAAGTTTGGAAGTAAGAAATTAGGGAATATTATAAAAAAAAAAAATGGAAGTAAGAAGTAGATGAGCTTTTGTTATATAGTGAGTAATTAGGTAAAAAGAAGGATATAAGCTCATATGGTGGTGAAAAATTGCAAAATATAGCCAGGGTTACAGGATAGAAAATCCTAAAAGTACAAGAAAAATGAATTTTAATTTCTATTCACGTATCTAGCCAAGAGTTCTATTGACATATATATCAATTTAATATTATTTTTACACCACACAATAGAAAAAGATGAATTTTACGTAAGGATATAAGTAGGCCCATTTTTTTATTAGTTTGTGACCCTAATCATTTCACTTTTCGATGACTCCAAATTACTTTGCACATACCAAAATACGAGTGTGTTTAGTAGAAGTGTCCAAAAGTATTTTGACACGATTGAGATTTTTAACTTTTGCTTTTGCTTTCACTTCTCCTTTGGCTCCAGGTAAAAGTAGAACTTTCAAGAAAGCACAATAGTTGCCAAACTAAAGCATAAAAAGGATATAATATGTTGGTACTAAGAAATAAACTGAAAAGAAAGGCAGCTAGTACCTAGTGAAAGACCTACATTGTTCATTTGCACGAGTATACAGGGGAAAAAGTGGCTTCTTCTTTTGCTATATTCCCACTACTATCCTAGAACCATTACTTAAATCCTGACGTCATTTTTAGTACACCAAAATCCGAAAAATCTCTGCTAAGGACGGAGCCATATACAACCGAGGGTAGACGATCGCCCCATTAAAATATTTTTTGTTCTTTTAATTTTATATGTGAAGTTTGATGAAATTTATAGTTTATCCTCCTAAAATTTTGAAACCCTTTATTGTAATCTTGCCTAACAAGTTAAAAAGAATTTTTGAAAGAAAGAAGAAAAAAAAGAGAGAGAAAGAGGAAGTCCATGTCAAATTTGGTGCTAACATTTGAGGAAAGAGCTAGTTATTTACAACTGGTTCATACGGTTTTCTCAAGAGGAGCTCAGTTATAAATAAAGCTCTTCCATTTCTCAATTTTACATCACCTCTCAGAGAGAATTCCCATAGTGTGAGAAATTTAGTTTTGCTAATTTTTCTTCTTTTGTGAGGTGTTTCTCCTATTTACATAAGGGAGTTATTCTTATTGTTTACTTCGTGTAATTTAGAGAGAAAGTTGTAATCCCCATTTTCATAGTGAAATCCTTCTATACTTGTCCCGTGGGTTTTACTCCGTCTCCTTTGGGGATTTTTCACGTAAAATACTATATGTCCATATTATCTTCATTTTTACTCATTTCTTATTTTACCGCCAGATTTGCCAACAAGTAGTATCATAGCAATCCAGGTGAAGTTACTGTTCACGACAGAATATTGTTCATGTATACAGTACTGTTCACGGTGCGAATAAATATGGTGTAAGTAGGTTCTGTCTAAGAGGCTAGAACTTAGGCAGTCCACTTGAGACCCTCCACACCTTTCTTGGGAACTT